AGTACCTCGACATCTATAGTTGTAGTGTTAAATCAGTAGGTTTCGGTTTTCACCACACCACGTCATTTCGCTACTCAATTCACCTCTTTAGGAAATCGTATATTAGCCAAATGCTAAATGCTAACCGTAGATGAAGGATTTTCAGAATAAAAGCTTAACTGCTTGTGCACAAGAATTTCTGGTTTTTCAGTATAAAAGAGCATTTAACTTGACTATATTATACCATCAAAACATTGATTTTAAAACACAGTATGTTGCTAATCGATTCAGCAGATAGATAACATATTTATAATACACTGAGACCTCTCTAATAACAGAAATAAACAACATAACAAAAAACAAAACATTTAAACATGCATTTTCCCCCTGTGATAAGTGATGACATACACATTTTGGAAGCTTTTGAATAAAAATCTGATATCTGGTCCAACAAAAAAAATCATATCATAGGTTGTATTATGAACAATATTAGGTTTGTCTCAAATGATTACAGACCCTAAATTGGTGTATGAACGTGTGTTCACTACAGTAGCAAGAGTCGTTTCAAATAATGTGAAGTATAAATATGCAGTACAAATTATAATACAATATAATAAAATAAACAATTTGTACCAAATGTCAGGGGAAATAGCAATAATACAAATAATTATAGGATGACACTGGATGTTGATTTGAATTCAAAGCAATTTATTTAAACATCTTACATTAATTTTTGTAGATTAAATCGCCTTTCATAGCAGAAGTGGTTCATCTGTTTAGTCAGTTCAACACTTTGGTCCAGAAACGTGAACAACGTCTGGCAGTCTGCCACGCAGTGTGCTGACCTTTCATCCAACCCACCTCTTGACCTCCTCTCTGCTGCATTTACACTTCCTGCAACCAGCGGCTGCATTAAAACACTTCTGCAGCACACACACACACACACACACACACACACACACACACACACACACACACACACACACACACACACACACACACACACACACACACACACACACACACACACTCCTGACAATAAAGCCTAACATGTTTACTGACCTCTCTGACCTTTGCTATTTCAACCACCTTCTTATGACAAATCTCACTTCGATACTGGACAATATATCATACATATTCAAACATATATAGGCTTTATATATGTATGTCTACTGTATATAACATACATTTAAACATGGGCTATTCATTATACCCATTGGAAGGATGTACATTTCCATTTTCAACCCTCAAGGACAAATATCAACTTTGCACTCAGGACATCATATATTATCTGTTGACTATTACTGAGAAATGTTTGGTGCTCTACATTTTATCCTGTTCCTCATAGAGTGGTATGGGGTGACGTATTTACCAGGAAATAAGCTGCTGGTTCCCTTGACAAAAAAGCAATGGGATTTCTCCATAGGATTTTGGAAAAGAGCTCGAAATAAGGTCTGTGGAGAACGTACCTGTTTGATAAATGCATGTTTTTTTCAGCCGGATAATCTCCACATGTCTACCCTACTTTTATAATGTTCGAATCATAAATCTAATCGCCAGAAGCAAAATATTGACGTTATGCTATAAAGGAACTACAGCCGAGTACAGCAGCACGACTTCAACGTCACGCCAATTTAAGATCGATATTCAGAAATACAGATTCTAAATGGTACGAGTTGAAGCGTTTGTTTTGACAGTTTGCAGGAGGCAGGTACTTGCTTTCAAGCAGAACAGGGCAAACAAACTTAGAGGAGTGTTTACGTGCTCGGCGTAATGACGTAAAACGACCTCCACAACTTCTGTAGTCCTATTCAGCCACTTGGTAACAACCATCGTTTTTCAGACACGTCAACTCTTCAGAAATCACCAGTGGGGTCACTGCTGATGGATTTAATCTCGTAGAACAAAATGTGACCCGTCTCTTAAATTTGTGTCAACCACAGACCTTATTTCCAGCTATTTTCCAGAATCCTATGGAGAAATCCCATTGGCTCTGAGACGAGGGAACAGGAAGTGGAAAAATGCAAACTCACTTCCGGGTTTTAGGACTCATCACTGCAAAACTCTATTGCGCGGTTGGTGGCTCGCATGGCAATAGGCTAAATAAAGGGGTGATATATATGATTATGTGCATAAACATAAAAAACAAGCAGGGCTTTTACATATAACCCATTAAAACACTGAACGTGTTCGCTCTATTAGCCTACAAATAAAATACAATAATAGTTGATAAAAGATGTAAAAATAGACAAGAAAAAATATATTTAAACACTGACTCACTGCAGAGTTGCCATTTCTGGCGGTCTATCCAGCACTACATAGCGAATGTGCTCTTGGACGGGTAGATACATCATTGGATAGTATATAAAAAATAAACTTAAGGTCATTAAAAATATGTTATCATGTGCTTGCTCATGAAAAACAATTATTTATATTTGCTAAATTGGAGCATTTCAATTGGAGGATACTACGACCAACCTGGCACTTTTTACTTTCTCTAGCTTGGTTACGAACGGATAGCTTCTCCATTTAATGTTAGTTAGCAAGTGTTTGTAGAGAGAAAATGGATTCTATTGAGAACAAGTTGCAAACCAGGTGAACAGAAACACAGCGTGACAAACGAGGGAAACGAGGATTTGGATGCATGCATGCTTCCGCTCATCCCAGTATTAAGGTAATCCTGCATTTATTTTATACAGCGCTTTTCCGAGTTCTCAAAGACGCTTTACATTACAGTATTGTTTGGCTGCATTGCATATTGTATGTTCTGGGTGGGATGACAGATTAATAAGCAGACATGCTTATATGAAACTTAAATATTAAATAACTTCTCTGCCATAAACGTTCCACCAAAAACCTTCACACTTGTTGAGATGGACACTTGTTGAGATGGACACTTGTTGAGATGGACACTTGTTGAGATGGACACTTGCTGAGATGGACAATTGTTGAGATGGACACTTGTTGAGATAGACAATTGTTGAGATGGACACTTGTTGAGATGGACACTTGTTGAGATGGACACTTGCTGAGATGGACACTTGTTGAGATAGACAATTGTTGAGATGGACACTTGCTGAGATGGACACGGGTCAACAGTTAACCCTCTTGGACCTGAAATATAAACAGGGAAAATACTTTTGTTATATAACAATTATGGTAACAACTCTTTCATCATAAGAAAAGCTTGAAGTACAATTGATTGTTTTTTTTATGAAAGATATACCGTCAGTTCATTTCATATTAATAGCTGCTTTAACAGAAAGTTCCTAATCAGCTGCAGCCATCTTGATAATGTTCAGAAATACCTCCACGCTCCTCTTTACGTCTCAAACACACCCAGTAATAAATAAACTGACAACAAATAAAACCTGAGCTTGCAGATTGTCCTCAACACTGTACAACTGCTCTTCTCACCTCTCAGTCTGTCTCCACATCCTGTTCCACATCGGAGTAACCTGAGAGGAGAAGGTGAGAGAGCAGGGATAATTAGAATATCCCACTCCGAGGTCATTTTGAGTGAGTGATTGGCACCGAAGCAAACATTGCTGCTGATACAATAGATAAGCAGATACCAATAATGATACTGTTACTATCTTTGAATTTGGTTAGGATAGTGTGTTATTAAATGAAAATATAAAACTGTGAGCAGTGTTAAACGGACCCTTCCACTAGAGGGAGGTCACCAGTGGCCGTGTCCACGTCCATTTGAGTGAAACGATATCTCTCATAAGATTTTACGACAAATGGTTAAAGGGTTATGATAAGTGGCGTGGGGAAAACCACCATTGGCCTGTAGATGTATTCAGGGCTGGACCATCAGCATGCACATGTCATTTGGTTCAAATTAGAAGTAAAATGCAAACATGGTGACATAATATAGGTTTGCAGATTTCAAGGCACATGCACTAACCACTACACCATAGTATCTGCTGATAATAAGCAACTCTAAAGAGATTCTATTTAACAGTAAGGGGCAGACAAATCTCAATGTTGTTACAAAGAAAGTACCTCTGCCTTCAGAAGTTTTGGTCACTTGAGAGGGCATAAGAGGCAGATTTAAAAAGGTTTTTGCTTTAAAAAAACATTTTTCAACTAGGGATACGTTTTCCTGAATTTTACACCAACCAATGTCCCAGGAGTGTTCGCTTTGGGAATTATTGTTGGTCTATAAAAAATGTTATACACATTTCGAGCTGCCCTCCACTCTGTTTTGAGATCAAAGCACTCGACGCAACACACTTAGGTTAAAAAAGTGCTGAGTGCAATTTACATAAAAATGGATGGGCCAATGTTCACAATTCCTGATTTTGGGCCTGACGCGGCAACGCTCCAGGACTAGTAGCAGTCTAGATTTCTCGGTGGAAGATGAAGAATAAGATGATTAGTTATGAAGGACAAAAGTATGTGTGCCGCTTCACCTGTCACACACAATAATAATAATAACATGTTTTTGTTTTACTATGAGGACATGCTCCCTTAAAGATCAGAGTTTAATAGCTTGATATGGTTTCAATACTCACATATATTATTTGTGTTGGATCTGATCCGCGTGCCTCTGATCCTGTAGGGATGAACACAATCCAACAGTTTAATAAAAGTGTTTGTTCTTTGAGTTAGTCAGCTTCATATTGACAAGAGCCTGATCTAATGCTTTACATCACATCATATCTTCTCAGCAAACACTACGACTGACTGTTTGCCCACAACTCTCAGCTGCATATAGGCATTAGTCTAGAAAGGAAAAACCTAACATGAAAAAACAGACTACTTTTTCCATTATTCTGTAAAATCCCATATGTCTGTCTATTACTTACTAAAGTTTGGCTTTGCATTTTGAGCTTGCCTTGAATGTTTTATGAAAGAATGGAAAAACTGCAGTGGGTAACATCACTGTTTTGTTGTGATTACTCAGTGTGAGAAAGACATCCCTCCCTGTGTTTAATACAATACTGCTGAACCAGCAGAGACTGAGTGAACCTTTACTGACTCTAGAGTGTCCAGTTGGTAGTCTGGACTATCCAGAAGTTCTCTCAGCAGCTTCACTCCTGAATCCAGCAGATAGTTCTGACTCAGCTTCAGATATGTCAGATGGGAAGGGTTGGACTTCAGAGCTGAGACCAGAAAAGCACAGCCGATCTCTGATACACCGGTGCTATTCAGTCTGGAAAAAGGCATAAATGATGTACTTTAGAAAGCAATGTTCCTGTTATAAAAGGTTTAATACTCCGTTCAGAGCTGGAGAAATAGAGAACGTAAATGTTAAAAAGGTGGAAGTTCCTAACAGGTTTTAAACTGTAAGATACAAAACATAGGTATAATGGAGTCAAACATATGTTTAGACTATTCAGTCAGTATAAGCATCAAGTTGCATCATAATTGTTTTAGAAAAGGCAAATACTGAATATAATTTTAAGGTTTCAGAGTTTTAATAGAAATATGTATTTATTTGTTCTTTATGTCATTTATTTAAAAAATCATGATAAAGAAAGATGAATTTCAGGTGTTATAGGTTCCGGTGAAGTATACAGCGTCGGATTTTTTTATCATATTTAAATGTAAAGATCAACATTGCTCTGCCACAGCCAAAGAACTAAACCACAGAAGAAGAAAATAGACTTTAGCATTAAGATACTCAGTGAGGATCAGGATAATATCAGCCTGATGTCTGCAGCTCAGAGTCAACACAACTCTCACATATTAATCTCAGCACAGAAGTAAAAGATGGAGAACTGACCTGAGATCCTCCAGTCTGCAGTCTGGACTCTTCAGATAATCACTCAGCAGCTTCACTCCTGAATCCTGCACATCGTAGACACCCAGTTCCAGATATCTCAGATGGGAGGGGTTGGACTTCAGAGCTGAGGCCAGAGAAGCCCAGCTGATGTCTGACAACCTGCAGCGCTCCAGTCTGAATAAAGAATACATGATATAAGTTTAGAAAACAACGTTCCTGCTTAAAATATTAAAGGTTTAATAATCTGTTTATAGCTGGATGTTACGTTTTGTAACAGCCTATTTGTGCTTGTTTATTATTCCACTTAAGAAGTGAGGGATTTATTGTGTTTATTGCTAGTTGGATATTTATTTTGTTTATGAAATAGTTAACTCTTTTAGTTAAGATTCTCCCTTTTCTATTTGTTTGTTTGTTTAAACCGGGGTTTTGTGGCCCTTTGTTTTGTTTGTGGCTGCTTGTTGCCAATTAAACTGAGCTCTCTCAATAAATAACTTCTTATTTACCAACACCAACTGGTTTTATGTTGTTTTCCCTTTTCCCCGAGCCGGGACCTAGCACTGGAGAAGTAGAGAATGTAGAAGTGTATAAAGTGGAAACTCCAAACAGGTTAAAAACTGCAAGATACAAAAAGAGAAAACAGAAAAAAAACTCAGCTCCATCTACTCAAACTCATGATGTATGTGCAGCCAGACAAATAAAACCCCACAGAAACTGATTAAACTCAAGATCACAGAGTTTACAAAGATGGCAAATTTGTCTTGATGAATTTTGAAAGAATTTGAATAAAAACATCCTAAAAGTTTATTTGAGTAATAGTGGAGTCACACAATCAAAGCATCTTCAGTTTAAACGAATCAGTCAGTATGAGCATCATTTTACTACATAAACATGTTCAAAAAAGTAAATACGGAATATATTTCTTAGTATTTGATTGTTTCATTGGTTTTATGAATTCATTGTATTAATGTGATTTTTATTTCATTTATTAAATAATAAATCTTGATTGAGAATATAAGATGAATTCCAGGGGCCGTATTCACAAAGGATTTTAGGGCTAAAAGTAGCTCCTAACTGGCGAATTTAGGAGAAACTCCTAAGCATAATGGGCGTGTCAGTCTTAAATTTAGGACTCCTAATTTTATTCACTAAGAGCAATTCACAAAGTATTTTAGGCCTAAAAGTAGCACCTAAGTCTGGGAGAGCTTAAAAGTCCTCGAGAGGACTCCTAACTCAGTAAGACCTATTCACAAAGAATCTGAAAATGGCTGAGAGACTAAATGTTTTGGAGACAATGGAAGACTGTGAATTGATCAAGAGATATAGGCTAAATCGTGAGGGTATCAAACTTGTTGTGGAATTAGTGCGGGATGCAATAACATCCCCGACTAACAGGAATAACCCGATTAGTCCGGAAATAAAATGTTTGGCAACACTACGATATTTAGCAACAGGGAAAATGCAACTTTGCAATGCCGACGATTTAGGAATATCGCAACCATCAGTCAGCTGTGCCATAAACCAAACCATCAACGCGCTCTCTAGACCACATATCATCCAACAGTTTATCCGGTTTCCTTTGGACAATCAACAACTACACAGGATCAAAGCCAACTTCATGGCAATGCAGGTATGCCCG